TTTGATTGCCGAGCAAAACATTCCAATTCAAATCAATTTTCTCAAATTGAAAAACACTTACTAGCTGACTCCTTACTGGTGCTAGGAACTTGGAATAAAGGGGAAAAAAAAAATCACTTCCCCTGAGAGATACATGGAAGCTTCCCTAAGGTGGAAGCCGAGGTAAACACTCTGACCAGAGCAAATGTGGGTGTTTCCTACAGCCTGATGGAACATGGAGGCAGCCATGATGGAACAGTTCTCAGAAATTCAAAATCAGCTCAAGGAGGGTTGTGGAACACATGGACATCACTGGGTAAAGCTCTGAAATGACTACGGCCAGTAATAAAGTAAGTTATTACAGTCCCATACAGGCGGAACCACCAAGGCCTCCAAACCCTCAAGAGTGCAATGTCAGAGGTGCAACAGGAACTGTGTGTGTGTGTGTGTGTGTGTGTGTGCGCGTGTGCATGTGTGTGTGTGTGTGTGTGTGTGTGTGTGTGTGTGTGTGTGTGTGATGCCAGGCATTGAACCCAGGGTCTTTTACATACTATGGCAGTCTGAATGAGAAATAGCCCATTGGCACAGCATCTGAGCATTTTCTTCCTGGTTGGGGGTGCTGTTTTTTTTGGGGGGCACTAGTGCTGGTGGAAGTCTGTCACTGCCGGGAGTTTCAAGATGACGTAGCCTGGCCCCACTTCACGATCGCTGTGTCTGCTTCACGTTTGCGGTTGAAGGCCTGAGCTCCCGGCTTCCTGCTCCGGCTGCGTGGTGCCACGCCTGAGCACCGCCATGACAGACTCGTCCCTCCGGAACGGTAAGCCAAAATAAACTCCTCCTTGAATGGCCTGTGTTCGTGGCGCTTTATCACAGCAGCAGACACGTAACCAACACACATTAGAGAAGTACTCTGCCCTAGCGCTTCTCTTCTTTGTAATTAGCCCTTGAGCTAACAAAGAAGCAAGACTTTCACAGCCAGATATCTTAATTAAAAATTTGGACTTTTGCTGTGTTCCTTCACTCCAAGAAAAGAGTCGAATCAAAGAGAGCCTTAATCTACAGCGGCAATGAGACCCAGACGGCTCAGGCACCAGAGATCATGGGACTGGTGCCCCCGCGAGCCTCAGCGCAGGAACAAAAGCAGCAGTGGGGATCCAGAGGCTGGTCAGCCACCCACACCCCCTGCTCTCTCTCTACTGTAGCCGTGGGCTGTGTGGGAAGTTTTATTGTCTGAGTTATGAAATAATTTAAATATGTAGTAAAGTCAGAATCACTCTGGGGGTGGGATGAGGTGGAGTCCTTAGAACACAGGATTACTTAAAGAAAAGAACGTCTTTCTTGGAGTGGAAACTAGGTCCAGAATTAGGTGGGCGGAGGTTTTCTCTTTCTTTTCCAAATGGTGTGAAGTAGCATGGATGACCCTCTGAGAAATAGAGCCCCAGCTGGCTTGTTTCCTGTCTCGCCCCCATCTGCCAGGTTCCCTGTCAGTCATCCAAACTTCTCTCTGCTCAATGGACTAGTTGCAGAACTGCAGCCCACAAACATTTCTTCTGTTTCTTGAATCCCTTTTTTCCATCACCTACTTTGGGTCTTCATCTTTCTTCTCTTTGAGGATCCCCAACATGGTTGGCTCTCCCCTGCCTTCTTGAAACTCCAAACTGACCACAGCCGCCTGCTGCTTACAGTGGGATATGGTCCCCGGATTCCCACAATCCTCCCCCCCCCCCCGTTTCAGTGGGTTGTGGTCCCCGGATTCCCACAGTCCTTCCCCGCTTACAGTGGGATATGGTCCCCGGATTCCCACAGTCCTTCCCCACTTACAGTGGGTTGTGATCCCCGGATTCCCACAGTCCTTCCCCGCTTACAGTGGGGAGATGGTCCCTGGATTCCCACAGTCCTTCCCCGCTTACAGTGGGGAGATGGTCCCTGGATTCCCACAATCCTTCCCTGCTCACAGTGGGGATATGGTCCCCGGATTCCCACAATCCTTCCCTGCTTTCAGTGGGTTGTGGTCCCTGGAGAAGCCAACCACCTCAGCCACATCTCGAGGCTTCCTCTCTGCAGTCCGGGACTCTCACCTCAACCTGGATGGAGTCCCAGCTTAGGGTCACAGAGAAACATCTCCAGAGTCTCAACACACGGGATCTGTTCCATTTTCTCCCCCTCCCCCTCTGAACCCAAGAAAACTTAATGGGCTTCTTTACAAAACCGTGTGACAGGTCAAACTGTGGTCCCAGGCACAAGGCTGATGGGAATAAAGAAGGAAGCAAGGTAATGGCATGCAAAGCATGAGAGTAATGTGGATGTGGCTGCTAGAACTGTAGCCCCCTGTTCCTCCCCAGCTCACCCTACTTCCAAGCCCTGACGAGATCTTCTTGGGCCGGGGACTCAGTCGATCTCATTTTTACAGAAAGAGCGTCGGCACTTCTGTATCTTTCTTTTTAGCACTCAACTATTCTGGCCTTTGTCCATGAACCTCTGACTCTCAGTATTCCTCATAGGCAGGCTCACATCCAAAATAATAGGGAGAGAGATACAGTGCCTTTCTATGAATTCACTAGATGCTAACTGATTTCAGGGGGTAAAAAGCCCGGAGAACTAAGATCCAAGCAAATTGACAAACTGTTCCAAATTACTTTTAATAATTCCCCACTAGAGAAATCAACACCTAATGGCTAATGCGTGGTTACACCACTCTCACAGGACCAAAAGTAATTGTGCATTTGAAAGGCTCTGAATTTCTGAACAATCAAACCTCTTACCAATGTCTCCTCTAAGGTGGGATGGTCTTGGGAGTCGTGGGGAGCAGAATTCAAACACTATGGGACGACAACGATGCCTTAGGCCTAGAAACGTTGAAGAGGCAAGTATTTTGTGTTTGAACTTCTTTCCAAAATTCGTCTGTGCATGTGAATACATCAGCTTCGCATATAATACCATCCCATAACACTGCTTTGCAACCACAACATCTTTCCACATTAACCAAGGCTGCAGAGGCTGGCTTTTCAGTGTCTGTTAGCATCCTATGAATTTCTGTATATCATGTCTGTGAAAATACTATCAAGGATTGATATGTATAACTTACAACACAGTAAAATGTACAAGTTATTCCTTGCCACATATTCCTTTCAAATACGCATGTTGGCACAACTACATTTTCATCACTTCCCCAAACCATCCCACTGCCCATCCAGTACTCTAATCCCATGAGTAACCCGCCATTCTGACCTCTGTTGCCATGTATTAGTTCTGGGTGCTTGCGGTGGTTTGAAAGAAAATGGCCCTCATAGGGAGTGGCATTATTAGGAGGTGTGGCTTTGTTGGAGTAGGTGTGGCCTTGTTGGAGGAAGTGTGTCATTGTGTGTGGGGGGCAGGCTTTGAGGTCTCTTATGCTCAAGTTATGCTCACTGTGGCATACAGCTCACTTCCTGTTGCCTGCGGATGACCATGTCTGCCTGCATGCTACCATGCTTCCCTCCCTGATGGTAATGGACTGAACCTCTGAAGCTGTAAGTGTCTTTTTTTAAAGGTTGCCGTGGTCATGGTGTCTCCTCACAGCAACAGAACACTAAGACAGTACCCTTGGACTTTGTACAAATAGATCCAGACAGTGTGTGCTCAGCTGTCCTCGTTCCTCTGCACTGTTTACTCTTATCCTTACAACACGAATTGAGTAGTTCAAACTTTTTTTTTTTAGCGCTGTGTAGTAACCTCATTATATTTAGCAGTTCTCTCGCTGATGGAAATGTGTTGTTTTTAATTAGGGTCTCAGAATATAACTGCTAGCATCATTCTATCACAAGTCTTTTCTGTGAACATGGGAACTCCTGAGTTCATGTTTAAGGACACAATGGCTGGATCCTAGGGCAGAGATAATGTCTTTATTGGAAACTGTGGGAATGCCCCCCTACCGCCCCCCCCACAAGTTGTTAGTCCTTCTAGTGTGAGCTGTTCTGGGACGTATGCACTGGTATCTCACTGTGGCTTAAATTGCCTTTCCTGGATGAGTGGCAATACTGTCCAGAACCTTTTCTGGAAAACTTGCTTTGGGTGTATGGATATTTTATTTTGTGGTGCATCTGTTAATGTTTTTTTCTTATTTTTAATTCAAGCTTTTGGCTTTTTACCAGTTTATAGGCATACTTCACATAAAACAGTAGCCCTTCTCAGCCATGCTCCAGTGGTGCCTTTTTTTTCAGGATTTACTCTTATTTTATGTGTATGGGTGCTTCCCTGCATGTGTCTATGCACCGCATGAGTGCATTTAGTCAAGGAGACCAGGAGAGGGCGTTGCGTCCTGTAGATCTGGCGTTTCAGATGGCTGTGAGCCACCACGAGGGTGCCCACAGTTGAACTTCGAGTCCTGTGGAAAAGCAGCCAGTGCCCTTAACTACTGAGCCATCTCAATGGCATCTTTGGATGAGAAGCTTGTTCAAGTCCGTTTATCTGCATTATTTTTTAGAGTTAGTACTTCCTGCCCACCTCAGAAGCACGAGATCTTTACACTCGCTGCCAAATGCCTTCTAAATTCAGCTTTTACGTTTAGGCCAAAGGTGCCCTTCAGTCATGTGTATGGTGTGAAGAAGTGAGTGCAGTTATTTGCCCACACAAGTTAACCATTCAGAATACACTTCGCAGTAGGAGAAATCCCACAACTCTGTGTGTACTTTCATTTCTCAGAAAAGTACATAATTCCTTTATGTCTTGGTCTAAGTGGCAGCTTCCTGAATGTTACTTAATCATCACATACTATTGTTTTAAGACTATTAGGCCGGAAAGAGGGCTCAGCAGCAAGGCGCTTGCTACCAGGTCTAATAACCTGATTTGATCTCCAGAACACACACGGTAGAAGAGAACCTCGTCCTCCAAGTTTTCCTCTGGCCTCTACATGTGCACCATGGCACACTCACATACGTATGCATACAAAATATAAACGAATAAATGTAGCAAAACTTTTTAAGAAAATGGTTAAGAGTTAGGTAGGAAGTACTTCATTTTGGACAAATATATCATGCTTCTAATTTCATCAAAAAGTAGTTAATTTATTAATTCTTTTTTTTTTTTTTACAAAATTAATGTGTGATGATTATAGAGAAGTTACAAAATGTTGTTTTTGAGATAGGGTATCACAATATAGTCCAGGCTGGCCTTGAACTCTTGATCTTCCTGCCTCAGGTTCCCAAGTCCTAGGGTTATAAGCATGTGCTACCACACCTGGCTTGAACATTTTTACTATAATTTGAAAACAACTTTATTGCAGCTGGTAAAATATTTCAGCCACGTACAGACATGAAGACATTATAAGGATAGAATAAGTACACAATAAGCATTTTTGATTGGATAAATTTAGCATAAACCAATAATTGCAATTAATACAGCAATTAATTCAGACAAAAACAGAGAAAGATTCTCAAACCAAGAGAAAATGATTCAGAAGAAGCGTATTCTTATATTCTTAAAGAGAGACTGGGATCCCAATGGCGTGTTTAAATTCATGGTTTTGTGGTTCCAGAATATCATAGAAAACTTGGGTTTTATTAAAGCAGTCTCGAATATAAAGTAAATCATCAGTGGTATAACTGTCATCCTTTCCGGTCCAAATAGTCAGGCTGTACCTGTATTAAAACACAAGTGTATAAGTAAAAGCAAAAGATAGGAAACAGATAAAAAATTCCCAAAGCCCACAGCAGTCTAACCACCCTGCCCGGCTCCATTCCTTCATCAACATCAAAGAGACCAGAGATGGAACAGACCCCCACTGCTGCCAATACATTATGTAACTTCTATGTTTCAACTACAGAACGTTCAGTGGCTTAGAAACCCACACTGTAGCGCTGGAAATGAGTCACATTTTGTGAAAGGAGCTGATGGAAGATTTTGCTGCTGATCAAAGGCTTTGTCCCTCAAATAAAATTACACTGTATACCTGGGTGTGCTTAGGAGTCAGAGTGAAATAAGAAGCATGATGAGGAGAGTGTGAAGAGATCAAGTGTCACCATCGTCCCCAACATTCAGTCACTAATTACGTGCCTGGGAGTATTCTTTTGACCTGACAGGATGCCAAGAGATGGCATGAACAAGAGCAAACAGGTGTTGGCGAGAGGGCTTATGGGGAAAAATGCCTATTGCAGGGCCGGATGCGCTCAACCCTGGAGACCCACCTGGTGGAAGGAGAGAACCAACTCCTGCAAACTGTCCTCTGCCCTCTGCATGCACACTGTGAGACACGTGTATCCCCACCACACATAGAATACATAAATAAAATGAAAAAAGGAATAGCAACACATTTTAAAATAAGAGCATATGGAAAATTTTACATAGGCATGAACATGCCAGAGTCTGGGTATATTATATTTTCTCTATTTTGCTTTTTATTGATCTGGCTGCTGCATGCCTGGGGACACCATACTCTTTAGTGGTCACTGCTGTGGGATGTTCTGTATGTCCTGTGGGAGCCCTTCTTGGGTTCCTTGTGGCGTTACCCAGCAGGTCCACATAGAGGATGATTAGGACCATGGGCCTGAGTGCAGGTGTCTGAGATGGTCTGCACTTGGCTGTGCTGGG